GATATCGAAAATTATATTATTTTTTAAATACTTTTGAAAAATTATTTTTAATAATTTTCTTCTCTTGTCATTATTTTTTATTATTTTCCAAATTTTCTCAATATTTTGACTTATATATATATATATATATTGCGTTATTGAACTATCGCTGTTTAATTTTAATTATTGAAGTCAGACAAACTTTTTGTATTATTCAAGGTCTTTCATTGCATAAAAGATGACTACGAAATATTATTATATTATTCATGAAGTTGTTCCGAGAAAATTTATTCTATTAAGTAACTTATTTTACGCGAATTTTTAACATCAATGAAATTTTGAGAATAAATATGCCTATATTTGTTCTTGATACTATGGTACTTGATATATCTTTTTAAGTAAAAAATGCTATACAATGTATTATAATGAAATATGATCGAAATGTAACTAAAACATGAATTCCTGCTTGAATTTGAATGCAATTCCTTTGTTATTTCGACTATTTTAGAAATTTAAATAATTTGATGATGTTAAATTGTAATCTGGAAATATGTAACTACTGAGGAATAGGAAAATAGTGCAGTTTATTGCTTTAAATTCAAACAGGCATATTCTAGAAATTTTTTATTTTGTATCAGATATGTAAACACAGAACTAATGAAACAGTCTTTGTCATATATGAACTTATTTGAAGGCGGTGTCCCCGTCACCTTAAACTATAGTAATACAAATAAATTTTTAATAGCAAAAAAGGATTGTATAGAACATATCTGTTTCATTATTTAGTACACTGTAAGAAATTCTGGATCAAATTGCGGCATAAAATACCGCCATTCCGTAAAATCCATTTTACCGTAAAATATTATACCGTAATTTTTACAGTTCAGTTTTACAGTATTATTTACTTCATTAGAGTGATTTAGTGATTTTATGGTAATTATTACTGTAAAAATTACAGTATATCAGATTTTTTTAACATGTTCCGGTAAAAACGAATATTACTGAAAAAATATCGGCACCTTGAGTGCTGTTACTTTTTACCGTAATTTGATTTAGAATTATCAATACTCCAGTACTAATCTTTTAACTAATTCAGAAGCGTAACTCTTTCTTTTTTGCACTCACTTATGTTCTATTTTTTACTGATAAGCCATTGCTCAACTTTAAAAAAAAAGACAGGTGAATCCTGAACTGTTATTTCTCAATTTGTCTCGTGAGCACCGAAGAGATAATCATATTGCTCATTTGAATTCATTATAATTTTGTTTACAAAAGACACTTATTTCAAATAGGTCAAGAATTCTATTTAAGTGGTTGTTATAATTCCAAATTTAGCGTTACATTTTTATTATCTTTGTAGTAAGCTGGAGAAACCATGCTAGAAAAATTTGATTACGTTGGTGTTGAATGACACATTATTATGTTACAATGTGCATTGAAAAGCATAGTATTATGTGCCTTTTCTGGTATTTAATATGCCATTTTACCCAAAATTATGAAATAAATATTTGTTTACAGGTTAACAAATAACCTTAACTTTAAAAAGACTTTTAAGTACGCAATGAACTAATAAGTGATAAATAAGTACATTGAAATACCCATAAATAACTGAAATTACTTTCTGGTTCTTCTAATAGTACACTGTTAAAATTTTCATTCTAAAATTATGGTAAAATAACTGGTAGCTGTCTGTCCATCCGATTAACCGTAAAGTTTATGGTAAAGAACATTTTTTTCCTTTATGGTTTTGAAACTATTTACGAAAAGTATAGTTATAAGACGATGAATATAAAACTATACGGCTTTTTTAACCATTTACAACTAGCATTTTTCAAAAACGTTAAAAAAAATAATTATCTAACTAGGCTTAGGAGCTCGGTTTTTCGTAAGGTAATGGTAATTAGAGAGTGCCGGACACTGGAAATTCTCCATGTGGTGAAGGAAATTGAAGAAATATTGTGATGTCACCACAAGGACTCGTAGCACTCACCACTAAAACTAAGTAGTTTCATTAGGTTGTTCTAATTGGCGAGATAAAATTCTGGTTGTTTAACCATATTAGGCGAACGCGGTCAATAAACAGTTTTTCTCAAACTTAACAGTTTGATTACCATTTTATTTATGGTAATTTGACTGTTTTGATTAAATATGGTAAAATAACCATTCAATAAATTGTTATTTAACCATTTTTTCCGAAAAATTTCTAACTGTGTATAATCGGCAATATCCAAATTTAATTTTTAATTTATCATTTTTTACTAGACAATCTGAAAATGAAATGACTCAGATCTATTTTGATCATCTTAAAGAAAAGAAATATAATCCCCGAATCTTTCCAAAAGGTCGTGATGGATATGGTAAGTATTTTCGACGAAATATTGTTTTCATTATTTTTTGTATATAATAAATGGAATCCTCATATTTTAATTTTTCCTCCGTAAAAATCAAGAGGAATGTAAACTAATCTGTAAATTGAAAGCAGATGAAGCTAAAATAACCTGCAATATTACTGAGATTATACATTTAGAAAGAAAAAATTATGGTGAAAACTATGAGATTTTAATTAAATTTAACGTATTTCTGGCTTTATGGGAAAACCGAAATACTCGGTAGGTTATGGTTTTAGTAAAATTAGAAATAAAATATGATTATTTAATCTGTGATAAAATTTAGTGGATATGGAACAAGTTGGTTATTTTATCATGATATCTTAGATCATGGCATAAAACCATTTAATTCGTAAAAATTACTTTTGAGTTTTACATTTTTCACTAAATGATCAGTAATGAGAACTATAATTTTGAAGACCAGAACTTTGGGAAAACCTTTACAATGTAAAGGAAAAATCAGTAAATGAATGGTGCAAATACCGTATAACTTGGTTTTATTAAACAGAACAATGCTTTTTTCCCACTAAAAATTTCATTAGTATCTTAACAGAATTTTTTTCTCCGTGTGAGATAATTCATTTTTTAGGCATTATAAAACTTGGAACATTCAAACTGATGCAAAATTTTGATTAAACAGTCGAAATTAACTTATGTTTTCTGAATTTGCAGGTCGAAAATTACATTTTAATTGCGTTTAGGGTGATGAAACTTCACCTAAATTACATGTAAAGGACATTATTTACATTTAAAACAAACAGAAAATTAATATCAAAAGTAGTTAAACTATATTAACAAAAATTTATTTGAATATTTTTCATCACGGTTGATCTCTTTAAAAAAGTTTTTACATCTATTAAATGCATTTTTTTATTCTATGAACATTTAAAAAAATTCGCATTTTTCTCACAGAATGTTGCTGCATATTGATTCATCTCAGTGTTTCTGGGTGTCACATGTATTTATCGTTAAATTTCATATCACATGCTAATTTAAAAAGTTTTAATATATTTGATGTTGGGAGAATATACTGTTGTTTATCTGTTTAAATCATTGAAATATTTTCGAGTAGTAAAAAGTTTATTGATGCTAATTTTTCAAAATATTTGTGCAACTGCAGTTAATTTGCGTCTAGTTGATAAACTGATAAAAAATTTGGAGCCCGTTTAACAATGCTATTAGGGTTCAAATTTGGTATTATCTTAATAAGGTGCTAAATTGGACCCAGTTAGTGAGCAAATTAGGTCTTCTTAAACTTTATTGGGGATATTATGATTTAATTGAGACAATAAAATATCGTCAAATTTAGCAATCTAATAACTGATATAAACTTATAAAAATATGATACTTTAATATGGCTAAATCTATTTTCATTCGAGAGTGTAGCATATTGGAACATTCTTCGATTCCGCGCATTAACGTATGGCAACTTCTTTGTTTTCACCCTTCTATAAATTAATGATTAATAGCTATGCCTTTTCCTGCAATCTCAATAAGGTGTCACATTGGACTTTATTATCGAGCAAATTAAGAATTCTTGGACTCTATAGGTTGACATTACGCTTTAACTGAAACTATGAAGCATGATTAAATTTAATAAACTGAAAACTAATATAAACTTATAACAAATCGATAATTTAATCGGATATTATGTTTCAGGGTATACAATTTTTGTAATGCAAAATTTTTGTATACAAAATCAAATGAATATTTTTTATGAAATGCTCTAATGTATCACGATAAAGTTATCAAATTTTACTATGTTACCTAATTTTAGTACAGATTATAAAACCATATTTTATTGTATATTGTATCAAAATCATTACCACAGCACTTGGGTAAATTTTATCAAAATGTTTTTGTTATTACAACCCCAGAAAAACGGTAAATATTACCATATTATGGTGATTTTGACCAAATTTTGTTTTCAGTCTTTCTGTAAGTTTTTAACAGAAATTTATGGTTTAAGATAGTTTGAAGTCTGCTGGTGATAGTCTGATGTTGAACTCAGTAAACTAATTATCACAGTATTACTTTACTAAAATAAAAAGATAATTTGCTTAAGTAGTGAATATTTAGGACATATAACACAAGTATCAGTAGAATTGAAACTAAGTTTCCACTTTTTGAAAAGTGTCCAGCAAAATTTTCTTAAAACTTTCGTTCATAACATTAAAGATTTATTTTCTGGATCAAACAGTTCCTGAATAAAACTATAAATGAAGTAGCTTATAATGCTTATGTATGCATATATTCAGAATTCAATTTTTTTGCTCCATATTTTTCTGGTACTGTTTGTATTATCCGAAGAATGAAATACTTTATAACAATGCGTTTTACAATTTAGTCAACAAAATTAATTTTGAAAATTTAACTTCAATGTAAAAAGTTTTTTTTTAAAGTTTCTATTGTGTAAATCGTGTTGGTTCTAAAAAACTTACTTTATCTAGATAATTGAAAGAAAAAGAGATGAAACAGTAAAATTAGCAGTTTTTATCTCGAAATGTATGCCAGAAATTTAGAAAAAGTATTAAATATCCATATTATTATTCAAAACTCATCACACAAGATACTAATACATATTTTATTAGATCCATACAACTATATATATTTTTTTATGCATATTATATTGTATTTATTAATTTATGTTATAGTGCATTTACTGATTTATATACTTTTTAATGAATTATCTTATTTAATATATATCGTCGTATAATGCTTTTTAAAATTCCTTTAAATTTGTTTGAAACAAAATGTGTTTAAGTGAATAGTGCTGCCCTCTTTTGAATGTGACAATGAAAAATTATTTCAAGAGATTGTCAAGAGTGTATTTCTTATAAAAAACGTACATTTGTAAAATAATTAAAAAATATCTCTAAAAAACTAACAGCACAATAACAGTTTTTGGAAAAACTCTTCAATAATTTATACTAGAGGCTTTAAACAATTAAAAATTTGAAAACCTCACCTTTTTCAATGTGATTTACATTATCGTTGGTATTATTCGAAGTTTTTTGATTTTTATTTTCCAATAGCAGTATTACAATTTTGCGCATTATTCCATTATTTGCTAAAAAATCTAATTGTTAAAATCGGCAAATAAAAACCTCCATACGACATATTGGGTTTTCTAATGCTGTATGAATTTATTAGATTTTATATTATTATTTTGGTCGTTAAGCCTAATGAACAACAGCTTAGTAATAATTTTAAATTTATTAAAAAGTATTGAATTTTCATCAAAATTGTATTTATAATCTTCGATTATTATAAAACGTAAGGTATAACTCCAGTTTTAATGGAGGGGAGAGGGGGGCACATGTGATCATGGTATGTTTTACCAATATGATTTGAAATAAAAAAATCTTGAAAAATTTTCAATTGATGGCAGTACTAGTCCAACCTCTCTGCAAAACTTTCAGAAGAATGAGACATTTTGTTGTTCTATTCTGACAATTTCTTTGTATCAGCTGGTGTTGTATATATTATAATCACTCGCTTCTTCAAGTGAAAGCATAGTATAAATCAACTAATAAACTAAAATTAACTATTGCAGACCATTATATGAATATTCAGGTAAGCTTATGACATTTTTTTTTACTTAGTTAAAAATTCTTTATTTTTCAAGTTAGGTTTAAGAAAGATGATGGGATACTTGTGAAATCATCTGGGGCAGATGTGAACAGTTCACATGTGCCCCTAGTCATAGTATTAAGATTATTATCCTCATGATATTATAAGTTTAAAAAATATGTATGGATTTAAAATTATTATTATTTACTTTTCCATAATTAATTTATAAATTTTTTCTTTAAACTTTTCCTTTTTTAATTAAATGGTTGATCGCGCATCACGCATACTAACTGATACACCTGAGAAAGATAGAATTTTCTAAAGCTACAAATGAAAAGATAGAAAAAAAGAACAAAAAAGGCATGAAAGATTTTTAGAGAAGAAAGAAGAAGGCCAATTACAACTCCTGAGGAACATGAAGTTGCGAAAAACCCAACAGCGGAAAAATTATTGTACAACTAAAAAAATATTTTCTTATTGACAGTTCTGTTGTATAGTTTAAATTCACATAGTAAGCTACAACCCCTTCAGTTTAATGCGCATCTATATCTGTTATATTAAAGATTTTTTTCTTTGAAATATGATGATTGCTTTGTGTTTTTAATCTTGTTTACATGTGCCCCAGTTATGTACACATATGCTCCCAATAGGGGCACATGTGTACAATTGAAGTCATTTTACTAAGATATCATAAAGTAGAGAAATATTTTATTGAAAAATCTCTAAAAATTCCACAAGACAAAGAAAAGACAATTTAAACATATGGACTTCTTTACTGTGAGAAATTGATGATATTTTTTGAAATATAAAGAAATAAAAAAATTTGTTCACATGTGCCTCTCTCTCCACTGCCTTTAATTCCTTGAAAACGTTAATATGATTTAGTGGATATATTTATGCAATATGAGTTATTACATTTCATATCATTATTTTGGTTAATATCGTTATACCTAATGAACAACAGTTTAATAATTATTTTAAATTTATTAAGAATTAATGTATTTTCCTTAAAATTGTATAATTATTTTCTACTATTATATTATGCAAAGAATAACTTCAGACTTAATGTGCCTTATTTATGTATTGCAGGAACACCTGTACAAATTTATTCAACAATGTATTTAATAGATATTCATAAAATTGATGACTTCAACATGGTAAGAAATTTATTTTGTCTTATATTAAATGGGGTGGTGGGCATAAAACAATACCATGTCAAAAATATGAATTAGATCGTCTGAGCGTAAAGTTTAATGGTAAAAAAAGTTTTTTTTTTGTTGCGGTATCACATTATGCGCTATAGAAAAATAAAAAAAATAAACAAACCTTTTTTTCAACGCTGAATAAGCAAACCTTTTTTTCAATGGATTCGGATTTCTGACCCCAAAACTACATGGCCCCCATAGTTAACTCAAAAAGTCAAATTAACATTAAAGGGTCAAAACTTTGGATTGCTCTTCTGACCAAAATATGGAGACCATATTGAGGCTACCCAAATAGAGGCTACCCAAATAGAGGCTACCTGTTATATTTTGTGGGTCAGAAAACAGAGTCCCTTGAAAAAGGGTATGTTTATTCTGAGAAAATGTGCTTTTGTGTCCGATTTCGTAACTTGAAACATCGTCACTACGAATTAATTAGCATATTTGAGGTCACCTCCGCAAACCATTTTGATTGAGTTCTAAAACATGAAGATCCTATCGAAAGTTATTCAGGTTCGACCATTTATTTATGGGGGGGGGGGGTTCTGTACTTTATTCTCAACGTATTAAAAGGAAACATTTTAAGCACTTATCAAAAAACTTGTGTTCTTGGCTAGCTTTGATTCGTTCTGCCTCAATTATAAATGGTGATTATTTTACATAGACTAGGTTTTTAACATTTATAATAGAATATTTATAGTCGAAATAACAGGTTCTTAACTGAATTTTTTTTAAAATTTGAAATGTAGCTTCTACATTATTTTTTTAAGAATATTTTTTAATTGAAATTGTTATATCTTTTTTACTCTAAGTGTACACGGAATTATTGCGGTGCATGTATTATTAGTTAAAAATTACGAAAATGTTCTAATTCCCTTCACTTTTTAAAATTTTGCAGGATTACAGAGCCCAATTTTACTTCCGACAAGCATGGAATGACAGCAGACTAGCATATCAAGATATGGATATTAGTACCATCATTTTAGACGACGCAGAATACATATGGACACCAGATTTATTTTTTTTACAAGAAAAAGAAGGAATAAAACATAAGATTATCACCCCAAATGTTTTTATTAGAATATCACCAGAAGGAGAAGTTTTATTTAGTGTAAGGTAAGTTGTATTTATGTACAAATCGGATTTTTTAAGTTTTCGATGGATACTTATCAGTCTAATGCTATCTTTGGAAAATCTGACCGCTCCTTTTAAAAGCAAAGCGTGTGGCGTAGTTTCAAACATTAAAACTCGTTGAATGTTTCTAGATCCAAAAAGTATGTGATTCGTGGTACAAAGTTATAAATAATTTTTAAAGTGCTTATAGTGACTTTAAAAATGTCCCCAGATTTCCATGGATAAAGCTCAATATTCTTCTGCTTTATTTGAAAAATATATAACTCGAATGTAAAATGTAGAGCAGTGTTTTGAAATCTGACAGTCGTTAAATATAAGTTTCGTGGCACAGATTTGAGAAATTAAGTTTTAACATGTCCCTTGAGATGTTCAGAAAATGAATTTGTAAAATAATAATGTAAACGAAGAAAAAGATTTTGGTAAAATTACCGTGCTTGTATGAAGATGACATTTCTCGTAAAAAACTAAAATTCTGGTTATAAAACCAAAATATACATTATTACAATATACAAACAATGTAAATATGCAAACCGTAAATTTGGTCATATTTCTGTTCGTATAGTAACAGTTTACTAAAAATAATGGTTTTAAAAATTACAGATCTTATTATCACACATTTAGTAAAAGCACAAGACTAAAAAGTAAATTTAGCCAAATAAATGGTTTTTATATCATGATGTAAGGTATCATGATAAAATTTCCAAATTTTACCGAATTTATTACCAAACAACATGGTAATGAAACTATTTTTTATTGTTAATTTTACCAATGGTTATTACCAAAGCACTTCGGTAAAAATTACAGTGTTTTTTAGTGTTCCCAATAGAGCTAGAATGCAGTAAATGTTATCGCGTTCTGGTAGTTTAGATCATATATTTTTTCTCATCAGCAATCTCGAAAAAAAAGCATATCTAAAAGCTTTGACAGTTTATAACAATGAAGAAAAAACAACGTTTGATAAATGCTTAATGGCGCTCTAAAATGTCGCATAAGTATATTTTACAAAAATGACTAGAAGTTGAGAAATATTTTATGAGTAAATACTATATTAAAAAGATATTAGTATCGTACTATTGGTCGCCACCGAGTAGCAAACTACTTACACACAAGCCGAATATACCAGAAAATTATTTTTTTTTCTTAAGCTAAAGTTCAATTTAGCAATGATTAGGAAATTTATTTTACCTTGAAATGTCTAAGAAATAATTCTTACTATTTTATTCATTTATTTATATAATATTACAGACTGACTGTAACATTTTCTTGTGGTATGGACTTCAGAAAGTATCCTCATGACTCTCAAGAATGTAAATTTCAAATTGAAAGTTGTAAGTAATTTTGTCATGAAAAACATTATTTCATAATAAAAGAGATTCATAAATAAACTAGATGTGCTTAAAACCTTATAGCGAGAAGGCTACAGATTTGAATTTATTTTAATTTGCAGTAGATATGGTTTTGCTTTTTGGGAACTGGGGATTTTGGAATTTTGATTTTTTTAAAAAGAAAATAAGGCTGAGGTTTTAGTAACCTGCGCCCAAAATGACTCTGTAAGGTCAAGGTAAAATAGACTTAGCAGGGCAAAAATGTTGAAAAATAGCTGGTGATGTGAGGGTTTTACGTTTTAATTTCTTTAAAAAGGTCGGGATAAGTGTAGCGTACTAATATTTGGTTATTATTCCAATATATGTAAGCCTAGAGCGAAATATTTTTGTTCTTACACTGTAGCAGAGAAGGTACACGGTTTGTACTTCAAGGTTATTAAAAACATATTGCTTAAAGGCGAATAGCATATAAGAACTGAATTGATTGATATAATTCATTTTAGTAGCACTGAATCGATTGGCAAATTCCAACTAATCTTATTTATATGTAAAAAATTGCATGCAGGACANCAAGAATGTAAATTTCAAGTTGAAAGTTGTAAGTAATTTTGTCATAAAAAACACTATTTCATAATAAAAGAGATTCATAAATAAACTAGATGTGCTTAAAACCTTATAGCGAGAAGGCTACAGATTTGAATTTATTTTAATTTGCAGTAGATATGGTTTTGCTTTTTGGGAACTGGGGATTTTGGAATTTTGATTTTTTTAAAAAGAAAATAAGGCTGAGGTTTTAGTAACCTGCGCCCAAAATGACTCTGTAAGGTCAAGGTAAAATAGACTTAGCTGGACAAAAATGTTGAAAAATAGCTGGTGATGTGAGGGTTTTACGTTTTAATTTCTTTAAAAAGGACGGGATAAGTGTAGCGTACTAATATTTGGTTATTATTCCAATATATGTACGCCTAGAGCGGAAGATTTTTGTTCTTACACTTTAGCAGAGAAGGTACACGGTTTGTACTTCAAGGTTATTAAAAACATATTGCTTAAAAGCGAATAGCATATAAGAACTGAATTGATTGACATAATTCATTTTAGTAGCACTGAATCGATTGACAAATTCCAACTAATCTTATTTATATGCAAAAATTGCATGCAGGACAATACTGCTAAAATAAGACATAATGGCAAAAGAGTTGTATAAAATGTGCTACGTGCATTTTTATATTTTATTATTTTGTATTGTTACATTTAATTTACATTTAATTATTTTACATTATTATCATAACTATCATTAAAATTACTATTATTTACACAAAAAGAAGCATACATATTTGGAATATTCCCTTTACCTGGGATCACGTGGCCCATAATGGTAACCATAAAAGCTACTAGTATTGAATTCACACAAATAAAACTGCATATACAAAAGTACAAGGTGTACAACATACTAGTGGAAAACAGGATGCCATTTAATGTAAGCAAAAATCGGCAGTCACTATATATTTTGTGAAACATATTGGGTGAAAAATAAAGTTATAAGAGGTTCTCAATGCCATTAATTGGAATAATATTTTCCTCTAATTTCCGTTTTAATTAGTCCATGTTTGAAAACATTTGTAAATAGGGGGGAATACTATTGAAGAAGCCAGGAACTAAACGACTGAAGTATTTGGATAATATATTTTTGTAAGGTATCGGTATTTGGTATGTTGTGAATGTAAATGTGATACAAAAGTGAACCTTGAAATACATGTAAAATTTAGCATTTTGTACTCACTGTGCTTATTTACTTTAAATACTTCTTTTAATTCGCTACTTTGGTCCCTGGTGGCGAGCTACAGAATTAATTTTAATAGAATATCTATGGTTGAAGCAGTATCTACTGATAATAAGGTTGATTTAGTTTCTGCATTTTTCTCATTTACGGATTTTAAATACCATTACCTTAAATACAAGTACCCTGTACTTTTCAATGTCATACTGTGCATTTCAAGTACTGAATTTATAACGTTATATTTTAAGATATTTTTTGATAAATATTTCAAAAGTAATTAATTTTATCCCTGAAAAGACTAATTCTTTAAAATCAACAGTTTTGTCAAATCAACAGGTCTTAATGTATTCACTGATTAATATATGCATTATTTAATGCCAGATTGAGTCACAAATGTTAATATATACCTGCATTGTATTTGTTAAAGAATAGACAATTCTTTCCGTACAATTTCATAGGAAACTGTTATTTTTTAATTTCAAAACTGCTCAGATATTTTGAAAGGTAGTGATCAAATCTTTAAGAAATTGCATTATTTTAATTTACCCAAAATTTAGCTTGCTATAATATGAGGTAGAGTTTAAAGATTTGTAGCCATTTGGAATATAAATAGTTCTAAATTATTTTTATGATGAATTTTATATATTTTAATGTTAAATAATTTCAATAATGTATTTTTTAATGATTTCAGATGGAAAAAGTATGAAGGATTTGTTAATTGATTGGGATCCTAGGCAATCACATCCTGTGGGGAAAACTGAAAAAATTAATGTATTGCCGTTTGAATTAGAATCAATTGGTTGGGGCTCAAGAATAACAAATTTCACTTCTGGTGAGATTTTTCTGTATTAAACACGATTTTATTGAATTAGAAATTAAGTATTATGCAATAATAATATTTGATTGAACTAACATCTTAATAATAATTTGTCCGGTTGTGAATTCAAGTTTATAATATAAGCTAAATACTTCATTCACACCAATTTCTGAGTTTGACGCTTAAGTCTCGGTAGCGCAGTAGGCGGTGCGTCATTCTCGTAATTACTCTAAGGCAGGGGTGTCAAACTCAAAAGCTAACTTTGGCCAAATAAACAGTGCTTAACTTTAGGAGGGAGGCAAAAAAAAGGCAATGTTCATTGAACCAAATATTTTTATTTTGAATTGTACATTCTAATAAGCATACACTGGTGTGCAAAACTTAAGCAACAAGTGCGTTTTTTGTCATACCTCTATAAGAAATCATCCGATTGACATGAAATTTAAATATGATGTACATTATTTTGCAGTTAAGCGATGGTAAAAGAATAATGGCGCAGAAATGAATGTAAAGCTTAAAGTAGGGTATGGCATATAGTGGCGTTACACATGATTGCCTGAAGAAGCGTAAGTACAACTGGCAGATAATCCCTAGTATGGGATATGCCCTCCCCTTACTGAAATTGTTGCTTGGCATCGTCTCTCCATTCTAAGCACCAGATTATCCAGGAGTTCTTGGGGTAAACGTCTCCATTCCTCCTTTAACGCATCTTTCAGCTGATGGGTGTTACCAGGAGGATACTGTCGTGTCGCAAGACGTCTCCCTAATGCTTCCCACACATGCACTATGGGATTTAGATCTGGAGAGGAAGCTGAGCAATCCATTCGTGTGATATCTTCACTTTCCAGTAGCTCTTGAACATTAGCAGTACGGTGTGCCCGGGCATTGTCATCCATAAAAATGAAGTCTGGTCCAATGGCCCCTCAGAACAGACGCACATGGGGTAGGGTTACCTCATTGCAGTAGCGGTCTCCAGTTACAGAGCCTCGTTCGAAGATCTGAAGCTCAGTCCGCCCGTTCAACATAGTGCCACCCCAGACGACAACTCCAGGACCACCGTAACGATCTCTTTCCGCGATGTTATTGGGATGAAATCGAGCTCCAACCTCTCTCCAGATCAACTGACGTTGAGAATCGCTTGTAGCACTAAAACGACTCTCATCTGTGAAGAGGACGCGACTCCATTGATGAGGTGTCCAGGTTTCGTGTTCTCTGCACCACTCTAAACGGTGCCGCCGATGGCTAACTTTTAAAGGTATGCAGCGTTCAGGACGTCTAGCAAATAAGCCACCTTTGTGGAGGCGTCTGGCCACTGTAAATCTTGATACTTGTCGTCCTGTGGCTGTGCACAGTTGCTGAGATATGGCGCTCGCTGACTGAAAACGGTTTCTTTTCGCCTGGAGGACAATGTAACGGTCATCTCTTGGTGTTGTTTTCCTTGGACGGCCACCACCAACCTTCCGAACAGCTGTACCAGTAGTTTTAAAGGCATTCCAAGCACGAGAAACAACACTTTTGTTGATCCCGAACTCTTCGGCGACACTGGTCACACTACGCCCCTCCTCAAGCTTCCCAATCATTCTTCCTCGAGTAAAGTCGTCTAAATGATTTCTTGAAGACATGTTTCACAAAACAAATCACTTGCACTTGCAGCGAATGTTTTTAACTACGGTGCTCTTCATCCTTTTATCACAGCTTTGACCTTCGCGCTCGCCGACCCACAAGGTTTACGTACACTTACATCACCTACGACGTTTTATTTCTAAAATTTGCATACAAATAATCTTTCTACTGAATTACGTGCATATTATACTGCAATTTCATGGCTATCTTATTATTCTTTGGTGGGGAGCTGTGGCCGAAAAGCCACTTGTTGCTTAAGTTTTGCACACCAGTGTATATAAAGTTAAATTATTGTTTACGTCCTGATACATGACACCTCTTCTCTGCTACTATCTTTCCTATTTCGGGAGAAATTTTATTGGCCGACTACTTTCAAAATTAACCCAACGTGAGCGTTGTTAATGCTCTTTCAGACAGGAGATTTATTTCAATTCATAACAGAAAGTAATTGCTCGCACTGATAAGTAAACATGGAAATAATTTCATAACCTTGCCGGTAAACCTTGCCGGTGAATATTTGTAAAATGCAGGCACGCCCACTTCAATGAATTTTGCCTTCGAGTTTGAGTCTCGCTGAATCTCAATCACTTCCATTTGCATATTACTGTATATTGAGTCTATATTTATTGAGAAAATCGTAGAAGACAGACAAAATTTGTCTTCCAGAGAATTAAAATCTTTAAACCTTGTTTCAAATTCTGTTCTAAGATATGAATTTTTTTTGCTTATTTTTGATACGATTCAGTGTCATCCAAACTAGATCTGTTAGTGCGTTAAATCTTCATTTTTCAGTTGCCTTTCCCAAAGACATAGTTTACATTTGAATGCTTTAATTACATCATACATGTTCGTAATGATCTGATCCTTGTCTTGTAACAATAAATTTAAATCGGGTAAGTGTTTGGTAATATCAACCAAAAAAGATAAATCTTGCAACCATATCTGATCGCGGAACAAGCTTGCATCTTGATTTTTAGTTTATAAAAACTTACATATTTCTTCTCTCAAATCCCGTAATGGTTTGAGAACCTTGGAGCAAGATAACCAACGTACCTCGCTATGGTAGGTTGATTTAAGCCTCGAGATCTTATAAAATTTATAACTTTTTTCATATATGACAAAACATTCTCCATTTTGATTACCTTCGTGCATAGTACCTCTTGATGTATAATGCAATGCGTATGATGAATTTTTAAACCGTGAATTTCACAAAGTTTTTGTTGTAGTAATGCTGCAAAGCCGTTGTTTTTTTCCGGTTACGGAAGGAGAGCCATCTGTAGCTACAGAATTTAATTTTGACATAGGTAGATTGTATTTTTGCAGAAGTTTAAAATCACTATTAAATATATCATGTCCTGCAGTAGTACCATGCATCGGTATTGGCTCCAATAATTCCTCAAAAATGGTTGAATCCTTGTCGCAAGCACGAAGAAACATAGCTAATTGAGCTATGCCTCCAATGTCCGTATTCTCATCACAGGCAATGGAAAAACTTTCAAAACAGGATGATTTTGCCTTGATCTGATTATTTAAATTGGCGGCCAAGTCGGTAATTCTTTCCGTAACTGTATTTCGAGACAAAGAAATGGTTTGAAAATTGTTTAAAGTCGAATTTTCTGGACAAACAATTTCTGCAGCTTTAATTAGACATTTCTTGATGAAATCACCTTCAGTAAAAGGCTTCGAGTGTTTAGCTATCAACTAGGACAAGACGTAACTTGCATGTACCGCCTTTTTATTTTCTTGCAATACTTTACTAAATATTGACTGTTGTTTTTGCATACCAAACTTGAGCTCTTTTAACTTCTATTGTCTCATCAATCCTTCGTAATTATCATATTTTGATTGATGTTTTTCGTAATGATGTTTAATATTATATAACTTTGGTACATTAATGGTACTAATGCAAATCAAGCATATTATTTTACCATTTACTTCACAGCAAAAATATTCCAATTCCCATTTTACTTGAAATATTTGATGTTCGTTGGCGATTTTTCGTTTAGTTTTTCTACCACTAGGCTTCGATATAGACATTTACATTTAAGAAAGATGATTGTTACAAAAAATTTAAAATTTAGTGTTTAATTGATTTAATTCATACTCTTTGAATTCTGCAATCATTTTAAAAAAATCGTTAGCTATGATTACTTCATAACGGTTAATCGATTATTGAAGCATTATAATCTCACTTACGTTAAAAAATATAAAATTCACTATAAAAACACCTTTAATTATCTAAATAAATTTGGTGTTTCATAAAATTGTCTTGTATTTTTTTCTGTAAAGTAGAATTAGTTTTTTAGACAGTTTGCCATTATAGTTTGACCAATGCAGTGTATTTCAAATGAGGTAGGAGTGCCCAAGGGCTAAAGGTCAGAGAACCTCAGTTCTTAAAAGTGTATTAGCTTCTAGCACTTAAACAAAGCAGAATCAATTTCGTAACTTACGTCGTCCGTAGATCTTAATTTTGATCTGTACCAGAGAATGATCAATTTCCATTTCATTACCCCCAGAGGTATTGATTTGTTATGGGATTTTGGAGGACTTTGAGACCCGACTGATTTAACAAGCATCAGGCACCATTTACTACACGGGTAGTCTTCGGCAGTTGAGGATCGAACTCATGACCTCTTGGATATGGGCTCAACACCATTGAGCGATACTATTGAGGCTAAATGCTGTAGTAATATTTATTCTAAGAGTATCTCAATTTTTCTAGCACGGAAATTGTGAGATTGCGTACAATAGTTTAAGTTTTACCTACAGAAATATAGCAGAGCAGTAAGCTTAAGAAACAGAGTTCGTCATACCACCTGTCCAATATAATTGATATAAACGGAATGAACTCAATAATATGTATATAATTTTCTCTTGTATATTATTTTCTCATATGAATCTTCTTTTACATGCTCATTATCGTTTTTCTTTCCATAGCAAGATACAAAGTTTTAGAAGTTACCCTCGTTTTCAATCGTAACATAGGATTCTACATTACAAGATTGTATGTTCCATTTATTATCTTAGTCATCTTATCATGGTTATCTTTCTGGATCAAACCTAAATTAGCAATACTTAGAGTACCTTTGCTGTTGGTCATCATGTATATAATGTTAAACATCGGATCAGACATCAGCAGTTTTATTCCTCCTGCTCCTTATACAAAGGCAAGTGACGTGTGGATTGCAGTTTGTGAGTCTTTGGTCTTTGCTGCTTTTCTTGAGTTTATTTATGTTAGCATTGTGTCCAAGTCAGAAAAAAAAATTGGAAAGAAGCGATATTCAACTGATCCAGAAGCTCCAATGATTTCAATTTCTGATGCTAAGGTAAGTGGATAGCTGACTTTTTTAGATATAATACTTAAACTGTTTCTTTTTCAATACCTTGCAAAGTAATTTTACTTGACAATTCTGAATTAGAGAAAATCCTTTACAATTAACATGTATTTGTATGTAACTGTTTACTAATTCAATGAAGATAAGTGTGGGGGTGAGTTTTTACCGACAATGTCAACCTTCGTCTATGTAAAGGTACCGCGACATAGAATCGAGTTTACATGCCTTATATACTAGTGAATTGAGATTGTATTTTTGTAGTGGTAGATACACTACAGTACTTACCCACCAGAATTATATCTCTGATAGAATTCGATGAATGGATACCACTAGTTGACCCATTGCTGCCTTGTGAGAAGCTTGGAGAACTGCATTAAGATCACCGTATTTTTTCAGTGCTGATTGTGAGAGCTGTATTAAGTTCACGATCGTGGTCGCTCCTGCTTTGTCATTAGCAGTCGAGTGAATATGTTGTACGTCGCGTGTGATTGAAACTGAGTAGCAACAGCACGAGGAGGTGGATAATGTCGCAGTCACAAGTAGCAGGTCAACTGTCCAATGTGGACCACCCATCGATGCAGGCGTGTTTAGATCAAAGTAAGATATGCTGTCAAGATAGGCATGTTCACATCACGTCCGAAGGTCACCAATGTGGGGGGGGGGGTGAGTTCTTATCGACAAAGTCAACCATCGTCCATGTAAAGGTACTCCACCATAGAATTAAGTTAACGTCTCTTATATACTAGAGAATTGGGATTGTATTTTTTTTAGTGGTAGATACACTACAATATGATTTGTTTTTCTTGGATATATCAAATATAATGCAAGCTAACCGGTGAAAAATCCATTTATTTATTTGTGTGTTATGTGAGGTATTTTGAGTTTACATTGTAAAAATCTTTTACATATGAATCTACTGGAAACCATTATTTATCACTTGTCTTTTGTAAAATTATAGCAAAAATTAAAAATGGAAAGTTTCTATGAAATTACAGAAAACTTTTTACTGGAGAATCAGTAATTTTAGAGAGAATAAAATAAGTAAAACATTGGATATTATGTTTGGCCTTTAGGCATCATGCTTTCATTTTAAAATATAAAGCCCTTTAGAAAACTTCATTTGAGTGGAATCCGAAGTGTAAGACATGATCGGAGAAGGCACATATCGATCAGACTCAGTTTTTTGCACAGCGAATCAAAAATCAGCTGAAGCACGTGGTAAACGAGGAATCTACATATCACACAGAATTGGGAGAATATGTCATTCAATGTTATTTATTTTATAGGTAAAAATAGGCATTACTTAACTACAAAATAAATAACATTGAATAATACATCGAAAAAATAGTCCCTCTAGAGAAGTGTATAAGGAAAAACAGATAGTTTTGCAACTCTGTTAATGAGAAACTAGGTAATATGTGCTTGAAGAACTTACGTATTTAAATCAAAACTCCTATTTTTGTTTCTCTTAAATTTTACATAAATTGCTTACATTACATTTAAACTTTTTCTATGCAAAAAAGTCCTTTTAAGATTTTTTTAACTTCATCTGACTATTTCGAAATAAACATGTTAATAGGATAGAACAGTATAATATAATTCCATAATTAAGTTTTTTTTTAAATTTTTTCTATCCGTCGTTGAGCTGCCGACCCAATTTTAGGCTTACAACTACTAATGTTCAACTCCGTAGCCTTGTAATTTTGAACCAATACAGAAGACAAGGAAATTCCTGGATCTGTACCCCCAGAGGTATTGATTTGTTATGAGAACATGGAGGACTTTGCAACTCGACAGATTTAACGTGCATCAGTCACCATTTACTACACGGGGTGATTAAGTTTAGGGATAACAAGAGATAACTAATCAGATAACGAAAGAAATATTCTTAAAATCAAAATTTGGCAATCACTTTTATTATTAACTACTGCATACACTGTTTGAAATTTAGAAGCTTGTTGAACTGTGATATCATGTACGTTTAATACAGTTGAACCATATTGCAGTGAAAAGTATTCATTCAGAATACCCAGTTGAACTATTATACAGTTAAAACTATTATTTCGTAATACCCAGTAGAACCACATTCCAGTGAAAATTATTTCCTCATATTCCTCATAAACCATATTGCTGTGAAAATTATTCCTTCTGACATGATGACGGATCTGACATGACATTTGATGACATGATTTATTGCTAATATTTAGAAAAATTGCAGCAAATTTGCATGGTGTAATAGTATATGATAATAATATTATTATAATAATATGAGTCAAAGTTGAACTAATTTTCCTAAAACTGTATGTTGGAAATTGATTATTAAATAATTAATTTTAGTTTTAAAAGTTTTGAACTGTCAAAGACTTCATAATTTCATACAATACCTTTTGTAAATATTGACGAGGATTACTTTTTGTTACGTTTTCCAAAATGTTAATAAAAATGTTTCAAGTATTGGAAATCAAAAAGCATTTAAATTTAATAGAATGCAGACTTAATTTTTAAATACAAATAATTTTTTGTTACATTATTACATAAATTATAAATGTAAATTTAAAAATTACTCATAATGTTCTGTTAAATGTCTTTTAAATTCTAAATATTTCATTGAATTAAAATAACAAATTACTTTTCTTAAGAAGTTTTGCAATTTGTCATTTTAACTACGGGAATTAGAAAATATTTTATTACTAAATTAAGCCCGAAAAAACATGTTTTTATAAGAGTTTTTCCACGTGGTGCAGACACTAGTTCATGATTAAAATTTATTAAGTTTTGGAAAATATGGGGTATTTTTTCAAATAAATTTATCTGTTTAGTTTTGCTAATCCGTTAACTGAATCTTTTACGCAAAAAGTCTGGGCTTTGAAAATTTCCTTCATAAATAACAAGTGTCATGGCACCTAAGTAGCTGGAGAACGTCTTTTGTTTGAGCTAAATCCTGGTAATTTGTTATATTCTAACACCCTTTAATTTGTTATATTTTTTTATTTATTAGACATAAATCTTTTGAAAATATCATGAAATTGGTATGAATTGTGAAAAATATTGCATATAAGTTATAGTATGAGATGCAAATTTAAAATTCAAAAAAGCTGTTGATTTTGATTTGCAAATATTACTTAAATTAGATATTATGAAAATCTAGCATGAAAGAGTATTTATACTAAAAAAGTAAAAATGCAATGTGCTAAATGCTTAAACAGGAAATAAGCATTTAATTAGAGAATTGCGCATTATTTTGCAAAACATCTGAATGTGGTTATTGTGGTAACTAGTTTACATTAGATGTGGTTTTGTAGTTTAGGTTTGATACTACTTATTTTTATTTTATAGGAAAACTCCAGCAGTTCTGAAAAGATCAGTTCATCAATTAAGGGGGTTGCTAATCGACTGTCAAATAACAGGAAAATATCCCAACAAATAGATATGATTTCCAGAATACTATTTCCTTTGCTTTTTGTTATTTTTAATATCATTTATTGGATTGTATATTGAATTATATTGAACTGAGATTTAAAGAACATTTATCGGCTCTTAGATTGTTGTTGTAAAAATAAGAAAATGCATTACTAGGTGACCGAGGATTTCTTATTGCTTACTGTATTAGGATCAGCAATAGTTTTTTTTTGCCTCTATATTTGAATATGACGTGTATGAAATAATAAACCTTTTTAATCCTTGTTTTTGAAAATACTTCATTGTTTATTTACTGAACATTGCCCATATTGGTTCGTATTTGATGCAGTAACTTTCATTCTATTGCATGCAAACACACACACAAACACACACACACACACATATATATATATATATACATATATATATATGGGTGACTCTCACGAAACATGATATTCACTGTCCCTTGCTCCAAGATCTAATACTATAATACTAAAAGAACTTTTTTTTTAAGAAATTAATAAATAGCATTGCTGTTAGCATTTTAAAATGACTTTGCCCTAGCATTGACTGTTTTGTATACTTAAAAAATTTAATTGAATATCAAAATGTCATTTTTCTGGCATGTCCCAAACAATATTTCCAATAATAACTAGCTTCAAAACTTCCCATGCATCTAATTTTTTTATCTTATCCTATGCAAGCATTTCTAGAATATACGCAGAGGGTATTGCTTACTAAAACTTCGTTTAAAATAATTTTTTCTGTCAATAATTTGTTTGTCCCATGAAAATCTGTCATTTTCCTGGCTACTTTTATTTAGTGATTTATAACCAAAATAGATAGC